TTGGGTTAATTGGAAACAAAATCTTCTGTTTTTAATTCTATTATGATCCTTTCTTATATTTTACTCTTTTTGTTTGGTAAGCATAATTTTTTTTTTGAATAAGTTATCAAGAAACGAACTTGAAATCCATCCATAAAAAAAAAAGAATGCACCTCAAGCTGACAAAATACTATTTGACTCGAAGAGTCAAGTGGTAAGCATATTTTACTTTCAAAATAATTGCATTTGCCATAAAATAGTAGTACTTTATACTGTAGGACATAAATCAGTAATAGCAATATCAAAAACGTGTTGTATTTTGCACTTGGTCTTACACAAGTTGTAAAAATCAACCTTATAATTATTGAACTCCTGTGAAAGTAAAAGTTGACCTCTCTAATTATAAGGATGCCGTCTTTATAATCTATTGAAAACACACTGTAAAATGTCATTATATAATACTTAACAACCAATTATATATAGAGAGAGAGTTAATAAAAATCTCAAACATTAATACGTCATTGTAACTCAACTAGTTCTATAATACATTATGTCATATAGTGCGATTTATGCCATACAAATTTTTTCTCTTCATCTAAAATATATATATGGTACTCATTTTATTTTATGAGAATCAAACTCGATTTTCACATAAACAAATTCCAATTTTCGAGTTTAAAGGGAAGATTCCTATATAAAGCAAATCAATAATTAGTTAAATACCACTATTTTGTGTAATTAATACAGAAGAAAAATGAACAGAAGTAGTACAACAGGTAAAGTGATTTGAGGCTAGCTACTTAATTCCTGTGAATACACCAAAAGTCGAAACAAATAAAAAAATAGCTTTTCTCAATAGCTGTATAGTATACAACTCTGAGTATACACTACCCCTAGAATATACAACAAACAAACAAACAGATGTAATTAATCAAATGAACTATTATGAACCTCATAAGCTTCTTCTTATTTTTCAACCCCCCCAAGATCTTGCAATTAATTTGTTCTGCATCTCAACACAACAGGGATTCAAAGAACATGTCATCTCTTGGCTCATCCTTACTTCTAGAAAATGATTGATTCATAAAAGACCCCATCGAGTTACCAAATCCTGCGAATCCAAAACTTCCGGGGCTCTGCAACATATCTAGACTAAATGTTGCTTGCCCTTCTGATGTTGCATCCGCCCTTAAACCTCGAACAGGATTGGCCATGGAGTTATTGGGCTGATGGTTGGTAGCTGATGATGCTTTCATCGCCATTGCTGCTCCGTTGTTACTATTGTTGTTGTTGTTGTCTTGTGAAGACCTGTGGTTCCCGCTGCCACGAGCTGCTGGAACGTCATGATTGTGCTTTCCTTCGTAAGTAGTGATCACTGCGCTGGCATCGTGACATGCTCGCTCTACATGCTTTCTTACAGGGCATGCCGGAAAAGTACATTTGTAGTAACTCCTGCAACCGTGATAAAAAAAATGTAAATCAGAACAACTCCGGCAGGTATAAATTAACTAAAAACATTTCAATTCGCATTTTAATTTTTAGGCAGACAGACTAATAATTGTAATAATGGATTGGGTTTGAACACATTCTTTTTGGTTTCAAATATATAATACTACTTCTAAAACTTGAAAAAGAGAACCATATTTCAAAAGGCATCAACTTTTTACCTTGGATTTGGGTTTCCCTTGACCACTTTTTGCCCATATTTCCTCCATCTGTACCCATCATCCAGAATATCAATCTCACTAGTTGTTTGTACTACAACTCTAGGTTCCCTCACTGTTCTGCTTCCAGGAGCTGAAATCCCTTCATTTTCACCTTCAACTTTCCTGAAATTTGATTAAAATATAATATAAATGTTAGCAATTTCATATGTTACAAAGGGAAAAAATATATACATGAGGATGGATCAAACTTACCATCTTTTGGCCTCAGGTTCATCTTCATCAAACTCATCTCCTCCTAGGTTACTCTTCTGAGAACCCTGATCAAACTCATCATCTATCGAAATAGATGAATTTTCGGGCGTTCCAACACCGGAATCCATCTGTCCATTGCCTTGTGTTACAAATGACTGATCTGGTATTCCACTGTTAGGAGCATTGCCACTCTGAAATGCCATGGAAGAAGCAGAAGAAGACGATCTCCTTGTAGACTGAGGCTTAGGATGGTTATGGTTACCCTTGTAAACTATCTCTGTAATCTGCCCATCCAAAGCCCTTTCTACCTTCTTCTTGGTGGGGCAATTAGGGAACGTACACTTGTAGTAGCTCCTCGGGTTTTCGCTTCCTTTAACTTGTTTTTGGCCATATTTTCTCCAATTGTAGCCATCATCTGATCTTCTGTTCTCCCTGATTGACTGCGATTGCGGCTGGAAATTGCTGTATTCTGTTTGGAACCCGCCATTGCTCTGTATTTTTGTAATCTCAGAGGAGAAACTCTGAGTGAATTCAGGTTTTACCACGATTTTCCCGGAGGAAAAATTATCTGGCTTTGTCGGTTGCTGGAAATTCCATGATTGCTGTTGTTCCTGGAAATTGAAAGAGAGTCAATAAGATGGAAAATGGAAAAGGAAAATAGAGGAGAAGAATTTCAAGTTAAAATGTTTGGAATCTATCATAAATACCATTGAAGATTGAAAATTTTGCAAGCGTGATTGAGGCTGGAAAGAAAAATCGGACAAGTACTTGTCTTCCTGTTTGACATTCAGCTGGCTCCTGCCAGAATTTGGCTTCCAATTGAAAGCTTGAGATGGGAATGATCCTGTAGTCGGAGACGGCAGGATCTGTAAATAAAAATAAAGACAACCGAAAACAGTAAGACAAATATCATAAGAATTTGTAAGTAGAACATAAAGAAAAACCAGACCGAGAACATAAAAACAAAAAAAAAAAAGATAATTATGCTCTGTTTAGTTGGTTAGAACCGACAATCATCTTTTACATCAAGAACAATAAATTCAAACAATTCTTGGTAAAACTCAAGATAATAAAATCCTTTGATTGTTCTCATTTTTCTTCTCAAATCTTAAACTTTCTTGGTAACCAGCAAGAGAAGAAAAACATTTCTCTGATTTTCTTCTTTCTTTTCAAATCCCGTACTTTCCTTTCTCAGTAAACAACAAAAAAAAAAAAAACAGGGGAAAGGAAGAAATGGGAAAACTTAATACAAAAGCATACGTTGGATGAACTCAGCAAAACAGGGGAGTCGAGAAGCTCCGCAGGACTCAATCCAGGAGGGATGGAAAAATAAGAAGAAGGAGAAACAGGAGGAGGAGAGATGGGCAGTGAAGGAGGAGGAATCGACTTGAACTTTGGCACACCGGATCCGTTCCTCTCATCAACGCGATCCGACAACAACAACCCACCACTGCGTTTGTTACCACCACCGTTGGCAGTCAGGGGTACATCGCCCGCCGTGGCGAGGAGGTCAGTGAAGGAGAAGCCGAAGCAATTCTGCTGGTGTGAGTTAGCCGACGTGTCGAGGCTGCTACAGGAGGAAGCCATGGGAAGTGTCGGAGAGAGAATCAAGGGAGGAAAAGGGAAGAGGAAGATATATGGGGGGAAGTAGAAAAAATGTTCACGTATCGCCCAAGGCTGAAAGGCTCTGCCTTTTTCTTCTTTTCCACGGGGTGTTTCGTGGAAAGATATATCAAGTTTGACCGTGGAAAATATGGAGGGTGTTTTATTTTTGTTCAAACCTCGTGGTTTGACTGGATGGCGGCTGACAGCTGACACCGAGACATACGTGTATATGTATATATATAAATATATATATATATATATATATCTAATAATATCTGCAAATGTATATATATAAATATATATCGAATAATATCTGCGTTGAATTGCAGTTCCACCCCTTATGTTTTGACGGTAGTGTAGTGCCACCCCCAACTTTTAAAAATGGCAACCTATCTCCTTTGGTTGCCCTTTTAACCTCAATTGATTTTTTTTTTTTTTGTTAAAGTTCTAAAAACCAAAATTTTAAAACACAATTATTACTATTTTGAGAAAAAAATAAAAACTTATTTTTCTCTCACCCCAACTATCCCAAAATAAAACATGGTGTTTTAAAACACCAATCAATTTTTTAAGGCAAAATTTGATTAAATATCAAAACAAAATATTGAATAATGCTTTATTTTATATTATTGTGTGATTTGTTTTTCGTGCACGAGTGCTTCTGCTAATGGGTGTGTTTTGGAGACAAGGGGGAAAAGTAGAATGTGAAGACAAGGAGAGATGGAAAAGAGATAAAACGGGGGAGACTAGACGGAATTTTTGACCCTTTATATGCTCATTTTCAAAATTGAGAGGGCGACAGGCACGTAGCCCAGACCATAATGAAGGCAAGTGAATTTATCCTAATATTAATAGGGATATTTCTAAACTGTAGATTTAAAGGGTATTTTTTTTAATAAATTTATATAAAAATAAATAAAAATTAGTATTAATTTTAATAATAATAATATTATGTGAATAAATTTAATTAAATAATTAATAAATTAATTATTAAATTTTATTCTTTCAAAACTCTTAACCTCAAACTCATATTAATATGCTCAGTAAAATACTGTATTTTTTTTTTCCTACACGGGAAGGCAGGATTTTTCTAGTTGAAGTATATAGCAAAAATATAATTATTGCACTTTTTAACGTTAATTAATATTTAAAAAATATAAAAATTATTATTAATTTCATTATTTGTGTCACACATCATTTTAATTAATTATTTATTTAAATAAATATTATTTTTTATTTTTTTTATTATTAATTAATATAAAAAATACAATAACTATATCTTTCACGTGTGCACTAAAAATAATGTTGAAAAAACCCCTAGTTGAAAATGACTTAGAGGTGGGTGATGATTATGGCCGTGCAACATACTATTGGATCACGCCAATTTTTAAATTATATCTTTTAAAAAATTGATTTTGTGTAGGTTCACTATTGAAAATAATTAATAATTATAATTTATTAATTAATAAATAACATAATCATTTGCATTTGAACCTTCAGGTTTAGTGACGTCAGATTATATATAAGTGTATTTCAGGGCAACGATTTGAATCCGATCCTTTGTAAATTTGTTCAAAAAAATAAATATAATCATTTATATTTATTTTTTAACCGCTTAAAATTAATTTACAAATTAATTTTTTTAAATATTATAAATAATTACTTATTAAAAAAACATAAATTGTATAACTTTAATAGGTGTGGTTATTATTTTTAAAAATATTAATTTTATTTAATTTAACCGATTAAAAACAATTTGTAACAAATATTTTATTATTTAATATATTAAGATTAATTAATAAATTAATATTTTTAAATATCACAATTAATTATTTAAAAATAATAATAATAAACTGATAATATATCCATTAAACCAAACCGAAGTCGTGTGCTCTCGTAACGTTTTAATGGGTCGCTAAAACCACGCCTCGGCCTTAACCACGCCTCGGCCTTAACCACTTCCGGTTGCTTGTTTACTGTAATAGCGATTTTTCTTTCCTGGTTTAGTTGCGAGTTTAACATTAATTAATTTGTCCATTTGGGTGAGCTGTGCCATCTAGAAGCACATTACCAGCTTAAAAAGGACTTCCAACGTGTGAAATGGAATCCACTTCACAACCAAAACCAAAACCAGCACGGCAGCTCTATAACATTTTTTGAAAAGAGACAAAAGTTGGGGGGGGAGGCGTGAATACCACCTAACAAAGTAGAAAAGTATCATGATTTTAGGGATTGGATCATTGATATATAGATATTTGATACCTTTTTCAAGCATCAGTTTCTCCTTTAATCATGGGATTAACATATTTCGTTGAGGTTCATTAAAAAAAAAAAAGAGCTGATTGGTTAAAACATATTTTAAAACTTTGAATTTTAAACATGAAGAGTTGAATTTATGGATAAATAAATATTATATTATTTTATAGATTATATTTAAAACTTAAAATTTGAGACCAATATTTAAAGAAATTAATTTTCTTCAATGTATTAAGTTATAGTTTCGAAATATGTGAAAACTGAGTTAGAAACATTATAATCATAAATAAACTTTAAAAAAAATTTTTTTTGGCTAACTAATGAAAATTTTGAGAATTCAGTTTTTGTATTTAATTGTGAATTTTTTAATGTGTTTTAAGTGTAATTATTATTTTTTATATCAATTGATATTAAAAATACAAAAACTAACATAAATTTCACTATTAATTTATGTAAATTATTTTAATTGAATAGTTAATAAAATAAAAGTTTATTTTTATTTTTTAATATCAATTAATATTAAAAAATATAATAATTATATCCTTATCTTGTGCTAATAACACATGTTAAAAAATCTTTTTAGTTAGTTATTGTTAATTTGAAGAGCTATCCAAACAATGCCCGGTTATTTTCAGTTTCAATCCATAAATATAAAAGAAAAATGTTCCTTTTTTTTTTTATGAATTGCACAAAAAAGTACATTGTGTACTTTGTGTATTAAAATTATTAAAATATTTTAAATAAAAATTTTTATATTTATTTATTTTTATTATTTTAATAATTTTAATACTTAAATTATATTTTTTATGCAATCTATAATAATAATAAAAAAAACCCGGTCTCAAAAATAAAATCTATAACAAAAAAGAAATTGCACAATTATCTGTCCTTGTTTGTCTCTCTTCTAGACACCAAAAGGGCCAACTTATATATTCCATTTTTTACCTTTTTGAACTTTATCCCTAGGACTTTCACAAATTTTGCTTTATATAATTTAAATAGGTTTTTTTTTAATGAAGAAAAACATGATAGCAGGGGTAACTAATTGTTGACGAACTTTAATCTAGATATAATGATTTTAACCTTTTCTTGGTCAGCAACTAAACCTTAATTTATTTCCTTTAGCAAAATTATTTAGTAATTTTTTCATTACTTGCTAAGGGAGGGTCCCTTTAGCGACTAAAAGTTCCCTACCTAAAACAATTTTAAATTTCTTCTGAAAAAAAAGTATGTTGTCCAGTGTTCTCTAAATTCTGTTGCCATCAAAATCACATATAGAAGAAAGGGAGCATGCATGACCAATCAAGTTCATTGGAGTTGGGCAATCCATTCCACCCTGGTAAAATGACTTAAGACAAGATGTCATTAGGCACAGCTTTTTTCTCTTCCTTCTTAGCTTTTTGGTTTTGAGTGAATGAATTTGGTCAAGGTCAAAAAAAAAAAAAAAAGGATTTGAAGGGCTTATGATCCTTTTCTTGCTTTTTTTTTTCTTTTTTCCTTTTTTTTGTCCCCTAAATGTTTGGAAGCTACTACCTCTGATGATTTCACACTTTTCTTTTGTCGTACAACATTGGTTCTTGTTCGTTATGTTGCCAGGATGGGTTTTCAGGAGTTTGAAGTATACATTTGACTGAGCTTAAACTTGGCTTTTCTCTGCCCCAGCATGCGGAAACAGTTAACAATATGCTGAGATCAGGTGGACCTGCAGTTGAACTATCCTAGCAGAACCTTTTTCAAGTCAATTTGGGACTCTCAATAAATTTTGTTTGAAAATTGACAACAATGAGATTCAAGTCTAAAGTTCAGCAGCAAATTTACAGCTAACAAATTATTTTAATCTTCCTAGGAACCAGGACACTTAACACTAGCAGATGCAGACACCATGGAGCTCGAAATTTCTAAAATTGTTAGTCTGATATACTCTGTCCCATATTTCTGTTCATCCAGTCCAGTAATTTTCTTTGTTTCCTCCAATGAATCAAACATGCGAGAACGTATTTGTTTGCACGACTATGATTTGACAGTCGCAGCACTCTCATCAATTGATCAAAGTAGTGACCCTCACTACAATTGTGGCCAGTCATCAGTAACCTGGATAAGGATAGCTATAGTCAGTTTCATCATTTCTAACATCATAAATGTAAATCAAAACTTTTCCTCCCATCAGAACATAATCTTATTGGATGAGATGCGATCATGAAATATGGAAACAAAAATTATTTCCTTGGAGAATATGTTCTGTCAAGTTTGGACAGTGTGTCACTGTGTAAGACATATAATCTATGGAACAAAGATTCCCTAGGTTCTTAGATAGTCTGACAAGAATCTAGTTCTCAAAGGAAGGGGTACCAATGTGATACCAGATGAAATGTGCCACTGATATAAATCTTTCTCTTGAATTGGTCATTATTTTCCTTTGGAGAATGCCAAACACTTTCCATTGACAAGTTCAAATAGTCTAAGAGGGAGAGAAAAACTTGCCTGGAATACTTTGTTTCTCCAATGAAATACACATCCACGGGCCTCCATATAATCAAGGAAAGACTTAGAAAGCAATGGTTTAAAGGATGCATGGAGCTTCACTTTAGTTAGACCTCGACATCCCAACAGCGCTGCTGCCAAGCCATTTGGGGTCAAACCAGCCAAGTGTAAGATTGTCATGTTCTGGAGGTGATTTATGCTGGCTAATGCTACTAGCCCCACATCCGTGACAGAACAATATGACAAGTTTATCTGGAAAAGGTAAAAAAGAATACTGTTAGTTTAGTCTCCCTCAATAACCCAAGCCACTAGGAAAAATGAAGAAGAAGAAGACAATGTAGTGCCTGTTTCAGGTTTTGTGAATATTGAGCAAGTGGAAGCATTCCATTATCATCGATGTTGAAACACTTCTTTATGTCAAGAACTTTAAGTTGCTTGCATCCCACAGCAATGGCCGCTAGACCAACTGATGAGACACAAGGACATCCACGAATTTCAAGTGCCTCTAACTTCGAACATTTTGACAATGATGTTAATGAAATATCTGTAATGTTATTATTATATGCTACATTGATCATCTCAAGTGCAGGACAACCACCAGCAATGGCTGCAATGCCAGCATCACTTATTCCCATTGATCTGAAAAGAAGAGCCACAATAAGATCAACATAGAAAAGACAAATTATGTACTATGAGTTGAACACCATGGCATTCCAATACATAGGCAATTGCCAGACATATTTTTTCCTTAAAGATCGGCCATATGATCTTCTTGGAAGTCATTTAGAAGGCCAAAATAGTTATATATCATTCTTAGCTAAAACATAATGCTAAATTGGATAAACAAGGTGAATAAAGTAGAAAATTAACGAACCTGTACAAGTCAAGCTCTTTAAGCATTGAGCAATTACTTCCAACATGTGCAAGTCCTTCATCGGTTATGTTGGAGCAAATCCCTAACTTTAATTTGGACAATTTTGAACATCTTGAAATATACTTCAAACCTGCAAGGTGTGGCATAAAATCAGTCTTATAGAAAGCTCTACCAACACACAGGGCAACTTAGGTTGAAGGTAAAACCTTCATCATCAACTTCATTATCTGTGGCATCCAATTCCTCCAAATACCGGCAACGCTCTCCAAGCAAAAGAAAGGCTTCCTTTGAAACCAAGCTACAAGACTCCATTCTGAGCAAAGTTAGGGACGTGCATGAACTTGTTATGCTGTCTATAGAGGCATAAGTTATCTTGTGACAACATGTGATGTCCAACTTCCTTAATTCTTTGTGGGCTTCAATGACTGGGGAGAGACCCTCATCTGTAACTCCCAAGCACTTACTTAAACTCAGCTCCTTGAGTCGGGCACGCAAGTTTGCAATGGCTTTTATCCCACAGCTAGTAACCAAACAAGCATCTAATTTAATTGATTGCAGCTTTGAAAAATCATGCAGACATTTTGCTAGATCAGCAGTAACCTGAATCACCATAAAACAGGTGAGCTATGAGCAAAAAGATGCATGTTGAGTTAATAAGAAATTACCTTAGAGAGTTTAGACTTACAGAAGAGCCATGTGCCAATATGATCTTCTGAAGCTCTTCAGCACCATTTGTTAAAGACAACAAACCCATGTGGCTGACATTCTGGCAGTTTGACAAATTGAGTGTCTGGAGAACATGCAAATTTTAAATGTCACGGAAAATTAAGAGTCTGTAAAGCATTCAACATCTTGACCTTTTTCAGAATATATAAAACAAAAAAGATGTACCTTTAGTGACTTGCAACTCTGTTTGAGGGTTGCAAGCCCATCATCATCGACTCCAAGGCATCCCTCAAGAAGCAGATCCTCGAGATGTTGAAGTTGCAAGATATATGGGAGACATTTCTCTGAGATCTGCATTAAGAAGTATTCAAGTTGTTTAGTTCATAAGCAGACAAATAGCAAACTAGCAAGTTTCCTATTTCATGAAATGTTCCCTATAAGAGGAAAACCAGAATAAAGAACAAACCAATTTCTTAGTTAAGGGTCAAAATTGTGAATTCTAAGCAATTGAGCATTAGTAAGCCTGTCTGGTTTGAGGGAAATGGAAGGGAGGAGAGGGGAAATTTTTTGATTGGATAAAAGGATTTTCCCTTCTCTCCCTTCGCTTCTCTTCCATTTCCCTCAAACCAGACAAGTAACGTAACACTCCAGAAGAAAAAGCAACATGAGTTAAATATGTTCGGTTCAATTGAATAAACAAAATATCAATCTCCATAGTTCCCTATTTAATGCACCAAAGAAAGTTACTCGCTAACAACTTTTATGAGCTAAGTTGACCTGACCTGACCTGACCAGTCCATAATTTGCAGGCCTAAAAACTGCATTTTCTTGTCAAGCAATCACTTTTCTATCCAGAAACCATAGAAATGGAAAACAAGAAAACACAACTTACCGGTAAATAAGAAAGATCCAAACTTCTAATTTCCTTGCATTTCAATGCAATCAACTCCACACCCAAATCAGTAATTCGCAAACACCACTTCAAGCTAAGCAACTTCAACTTCGTACACCCAACAGCTATACACCCAATCCCCATATCTGTTATCAGTTTGCACCTCACCAACCACAATCTCTCTAAATTCTTAGCCTCTGCAATCGCCGACGCCGCCGGGTCCGTCAACTCGGTTCCGTTGGACAAATCAATCTCGACCAGACCCGAGCAATTCACAAACAAGCTCGATAATCCTAAATTTGTGAAAAACCTGGATCTAGACAGATTAATTGATTGCAGAGTAGCTTTCCAGGTTGATGAAATCATATTCAGCGTCTTGTCGTCAACGCGAGGACAGTGGGAGAGATCGAGGTCGGAAACAAATGGGTAGCGGCGAAGAGATCTCGGTAGGAGCTCCGTGCGCAGCGGGCGTAGGCATTTCCGGTGTCGAGACTCGATGAAGTAGAAGGCTTTACAGGTAAGAGAAAATGACTTTCGGGCAAATGGGTCGTGGTCAAGATGGTCAAGGATGGAAAAGACGATCTCTTCGGTGAGAATATCAAATGGGTTTTCGCAACTGAGAGCTTGCATTTTGCAGGAGCAAGGGGCTTCCATGGAGGCCGGAGAGACTTCCAGGATCAGATTTCTAAAACTGCACAAATTTCGAAAGTTGAGTTCAAGATTGGTAGAAAATTTCGCGGATGATTTGACTACATATAGAAGAGAATGTGAAGAAGATTTAGAGGTGGGGCTGGAAAGATTCTGACGTAACTGTTAGCAGAAAACAGTGGCTCAGCTGGGGGAAGTTCAGTTGCGATCTGGGAAGAGGAAGACCTGCATGCTAAATTACCATTTTGGGTTTAGCCCCATTTTCTAATTATCTTTGACCTTTTATTCTGCAAACCACACTGTATCTATTTTAGCCCCAAAACATGGCAATGTTACTATTTTGGGCGCCCCATCTACTGGCAGGCAAATCTTCCTCGCTCGGTTATTCAAGTCTTAACTAAGGAGCAGCGAATCTGAATTACTAAATATGTTTTTAATAAAAATTAATTATAAAAAAATATATTTATTACACTTTTATTTTCTACTCTTAAGGCATAAAATAAAAAAATCTATTTATTTTTTAAAGATAAAAGTTTGGAAGAAAAGAAAAGTTAAAATTAAAATATTTGTCAAGATTTTTTTTAAATTATATAAATATTTTTATTAAATATTTGTTATATGTTAA